GTTTTTATTAATAAGTTTATATTAATAAATATGTTTGGACATTAATAAACAATGTTTGTTGTTTAATATTTTTACAAGTCATGTTTCTTTTTGAAAATTTAATAATCATTATTTTTTGTATTAATTACTCTTAAACTGGGAATAAGCCACAATTGTGGCTTATTCCCAGTTTAATAGTAATTAATTCACAATGCCACAAGAAAATAGCTTCAGAACAATATTATTTTTTGTGACGTATCATTTTATTTTTGAGTAAAGACGATATAAATTATTTGAATTTTGTTGTAGAAGTTATAATAATTATTCAGAAATATTTTATTGAATATATCTTTTTTTGCAGCTTATGGTTAGATATATATGACTATATACGACTACTGAAAATAAGCTGGGTCGACAGAGTTAGAAATGAGGAGGTCCTTAGACGGCTGAACCAAACAACACAACTGGTCAATATAATAAAGAAACACAAGCTGGAATACTTCGGTCACATCATGAGACACTCTGAAATATATTTTTTTACATCTGATCATTTAGGGAAAGATCAAAGGTAATCGTGGTCCTGGTAGAAGAAGAACATCTTGGCCGAAAAACCTAAGGCAATGGTATGGAAAATCAACTACATCGTTATTTCGAGCTGCTGTCAATAAAGTCACGATAGCGAATATGGTAGCCAACATGATATCCAACGATCGATGACGGTCATCGAATTAGAAGAAGAATGGTCAGATATGCCACTCTTATAGTTTTTTGTCGGTAATTTGAGTTCTTTTTAGTCCCTTTATGGGTTCACTTTGTTTTACATTTTAGTTGTATTTAGTTATTTTTTTGTCATACTGTTATATTTTGTTATCTAATTTATTTTCTATTATTTATCTATGTAGCATTTCAAGCTTTTATAAATATCTTTTTGTATCTTTTTAATAATAGCTTTCCATCAACAAGGAAAAAAATCAAAACAACTAAAAATAAATGGATTAATAGTGACGTGTGAAAGTCGAGTTTTAAATTAAGAAGTTTACACGCATTATCAAGGGCAGTACCAATTCTTAGATTGCTACAATTGGTGATTGGTGATTTTTATCAACAACAAAGAAAAAAACATAGAAAACTTTTGACTAAACAAGAAAACGTAATTACCAGAAAATCATTACTTCGTCTGATGATCCCAATAAGATCGCGTAGAAAACTGTCAATGATTTTTCAAAAAGTGCTAATAACAATGCTAATACTTGTTTAATGTATGATGAAAATAATATAATTACAGATCCCAAGAGGTAGCATGCAATTTTAACACATTTTTTAAAAATGCGCCCATTGATATCGTGTCAGATCATGAACATTTCTTTCAGTTGTACCCATTTACTGGGCAGGAATTGATCGAACTCCTGCAGAGTAAACTTAAAAACAATACATCTAGTGGATTTGACGAGATACATGCATTTTTGTTAAAAAAGGTTTTACCTTTTATAATCAATCCTATAACTTATCTCACCAATTTGTCTTTTTGCAATGGGGATTTTCCTGATTACTTAAAGACAGGCAAAGTAGTACCCATGTTTCAAAAAGGGGATCCAAAACTGGTCAGCAATTATTTACCCATAACAATTGACAGTATAGTTTCAAAGGTATTTAAATATGGATATTTATAGAAATTAAACGGTTATCTAAAAAACAATAATATCATATAACTATAAATCAACATGGATTTCAAGAAAATCAATCTACGAATACGGAGGTCCATGCATTTTATTCTAATTTAACCAGTTTAATTGATGCAGGCGAATGTCCTATTGGAATATTTTGTGATCTTAGTAGGGCATTTGACTGTGTCAACCATGAAATATTATTTAAAAAACTAAAACAGATAGCTGTTACAGAAAATTTCTTACAGTGGATTATGTCATTTCTAAGCAATAGACAACAATATGTGAGCATGCAGATGACAATCGACGATTGTGTGACCAGTTGTAGATCTTGTCTTGTTACTTTAAATATGGGTGTTCCCCTAGGATCTAATTGGACTAATTCTCCTTGTAGTCTATATTATCGATATCGTACAAGTGGACAGGGCGGTAAATCTTACTATATGTGCGGATGATACGTCAATTATTCTATCTAACAAATCCAACATAATCCTACATCAATGTAATGATTTTCTTTCATCTTTATATTCCTGGTTTTACGATAACTCGTTGCATCTTAATGCAGAAAAAACGCAAGTTATGCATTTTCGTAATAAGCAAAAATACCTGGAAAATCTTTAGTTTAATTTTACCAACATGCAAATAGCTGCGGTGTCGTCAGTTAAGTTTTTTGGGAATAATGATTGACAAAAGTTTTGATTTGAAGTTGCATTGTGAAGCGGTTGTTTCGAAGTTAAATTTCACTATCTATCGAAATAGAAATTTATAATATGTTTTATTGTTGTTGTATACATTTTTAAGTTGATGAGTATCAGTTTAAAATGAGTGGTGTTAGGCATAACTTAAATACTAGATATTGTAATAAACTTTATATACCATTTTCAAAAGGTAACATTAAATTTAAATATCCCAGCTTATACGGGCCACACTTGTTCAATCACTTGCCCACAGTTATAAAATTTACTAGTTTAATAATTGTATTTAAGAGGAATCTTAGGCAATTTTTAAGTGAAAAAGTGTTTTATACAGTTGAAGTATTTTTTAGATCTCAGATATTAACTGTATTTCATTAAGCTTTTTATTCATTTCATGTCTTGATTAGTCTAGCTTAGTCTTTAGTTTTTAGCAATGTATATTTATGACTAATTCTATACAAAGTATGTTTGTCAGAAAGAAAATAAAGAATTTTAATTTTGAATTTGAATTTAAATTTATGTATTTTGATCTTAATTTTTTACAATTTACATCCATACCCATCCCAATAAAGCTCCCTGACTTGAGCAATGTGGTCTTCGTTAAGTTTTGGGTAAGAAAAGCTTTTTATTTTCAACTTTTTTCAGCTTTTTGGCAAAAAATGACAAAACTGACAATAAACGTACACAGTTACGAAGAAGTTAAAATATTTACATATCTGGGATTATTATTTAAAAGAAAAAAATAAAAGTGTAGATTATGAAATGTTTAATTCAGGCGGGAAATACAGCGTTCTATAGAAATAAAAAAAGTTTAGAGATAAAAAGATAAGCCGAAACACAAAAATTTAAATCTACAAAACGACCATAAGACCAATAGTAGTATATGCTGAAGAAACATCACCAAGTAGAAGAACCAGCGGCAGACCTAAACTGAGATGGACACGACAATAAAAGAAGATTTAAGGACTATGGAAATTAGAAATATAGAAAAGTCAATGAACAAAAGAGAAGAATACAACAAAGTAGTGGAAATAGCGAAGTCACAAGAGAAACCCTAAGACCAAAACCAGAATGTCTTCAAGTGAAAACAACTTCCACGTCACTGGGAGCGTATACCTTGTATTATATATATAAATATATATATATATATATATATATATATATATATATATATATTGTATATATATATATACATATATGTATATATATATATATGTATATATATATATAATATATATATATATATATATATATATATATATATATATATATATATTAAATACAAGGTATACGCTCCCAGTATATATATAATAATAAATATAGAAGAAGAGTTTTTAACTAATAAACTTAAATAGCGATTGAAGAAATAATTTATAAGTTTCAGACTACAGAATATATTTATATGAGGGTATTTTTAAGAAATTAGCAAATAATAAATGTACAAAGTTTTATTTTAATAATTATAATATTATGATATATTTAAGTGAGCCATGTGCATAGGCAACCAAATATACACTGAATAATTGACATTGTATTATTACGACATCCAGATATTGATGAAATAGAACAAATTCGAACATGATTTATTACTAGAATATTAGGGAACGATGACAAGATATAAATACGGTGTAATTTGAAGCAAGGATGGATTAGACAGTTCAAGACAGTATGAGAGTAAATTAAGACAGTTACAGTGAACAGTATGAGAGTTACAGTAAAACAGTTAAACAGTTATTGATTAAGACAGTTACAGTTAAATAGTTACCAGTTGCAGTAAGACAATATGAAAGTAACAGTGAAACAGTTAGACAGTGCATTTATTAAGCAGTCAATCATTCAATTAGTTGATCAGTAAATAGTACAAGCAGATAGTAGGTATAAAGTGGTCAGTATTAAAGTATTAATTATACAGTGAAGTATGCAGTAATCAGTGATTCAAAGTTATATAGTATTTGAAAGTATATCAAAATTATAATATCTGTATGGTGATTGGAGATTATTAAGAAGAAAAAATAGGATTATAAGTAAAAAGCAAAAAAAGACAATAAAGAAAGATGAATATTTTGCCCATTTATAAATGCTATTAAGAAGAAAAATATTTTAAATTGTTGGAAGCTGATAATTAAAACATTGTTGTATATTTGGAAGAAGCAATTTCACAAAAACAAGGATAACCGAGGCTGATAAGAAGATATTGAGTGGTGATTAAACCTTTGATTTTGAAAAACAGTTTCATTTAGGCATTCAGTGATAAAAAGGTACCAAAGTTTGTTAATATAATTTAATTATTGTAAGAATTTCAAATTTAAGATAGGTTTTTCTAAATTTATATTGTCACACATATATATTAGATATATATGTGTGTTTCCTAATAGTTATAATAAAGATAATTTAAAAAAGTACTTACAAACTAATTCTTTGAGAATCGCGATAAAAACCCCATACTTATATATTTATTTTAAATTATTCATTGCTCATACACAAACAAAACATTGTAGCAATATATATATATATATATATATATATATATATATATATATATATATATATATATATATATATATATATATATATATAATATATATATATATATATATATATATATATAATATATATATATATATATATGTTGTCTTATATGTAATTATTATGATTTCCATACCAATTCTGTTTAAACAAATATTTCTAATTTGTTTCGTCTCATCCTCTGTGAAGGCGTAGATTCCCTAAAACAATGAAGCATAATTTTTAATTTAGCATACATGTTCAGTGTGATGTAGATGTGCTTATTGCATACGTCTATGTGTGTTTTTTGTGTGAACGTGTAAGGTTATGTTTGCGGGTGTGGGCGATGACGTTTATAGACTAAGCAATCCCGTATTCTCGCTATATATTCAAGATACGCTCAAGGTTGAAGGTATGTTTACCAGAACAGCGGCTTGCTCATTTATATTTTAATGACAGTAATTATTTTTTTAATTAAAATTAAATATTTTTTTTTATTCCCGTCTATAAGAGAAAAAAATTATTTTTATAAAATAGTATGGCATTTTACTAAAATAGTAAGTAAATAACTCTCAACAATTTAAAATAAAATTTGCTTGTCAAATAAAATATGTAGTAAACACACAAAATGGCGAAAATGTTTTCAAACGCAAGACCAACTTGGTGATGCTTCGTAAGGAATCATGAACTTCGTGCATCTTCGTATCAAAACAATAAACAATAACAAAGGTATTCATGTTGTGGACACTTTTTAAAGCATTCACCGAGTCTATATATTATACGTCATTGGGTGTGGGTTCGTTTTTGTATCTCATTTGTGTGATTCATTTAATTTACTAATAAATAAATATACAGATATTCACATAAATGTATCCTTTTGATTTTAATTCATTCGTGAATGTCTATTAATTTATAACTTATTTACATATATCATATGCGAAACTAAAAGTGCGAACTGCAAATTAATGACGAGACAGCGGAACACGTTCTGTGCAACTGCCCAGGGTTATGTAGGATAAGGCTCATTATATTTGAGCATTATTAACACAATCCATATGATTTTGTTGAGGTGTTACCAATGACCGTAATAGACTTTGTTAAATCGTTTCGGTATTATACTACATTTACGAATATTGAGAGCGGTTATTGAAATTTAAAAGCACCGGAATAACTTACATTGTATCTGCAAACAAAATATCGCTCTTATCATTACGGAATACAAAATTGCCCCCATGTGCCCCGAAACCTATAATACCGGTCAATTCTGGTCAACAGACAGATCTCTGGAAGCAAATAAAGGCTTCATATAAATTTAATATAAGCTTAAAACATATTATCAGTTTACTGAATATGTGTAACGAAAATGATAAAAGACCACGTTTACGTCCTCTTCGGCATCAGCTTTAATACTTTCTGCTGCAGTTGTGACAGTTGCAAAAAGAAATTACTATTGGCTTCATACCTCAGTTTGGACTTGACCCGCGCCCTTAACTCGTTTTATTCGTTCGTATTTCCAGCTTTCTTTCTTCTTAGTTCAAACTTCTAGTTTCAAGTTTTTCAGATTATTTTGTATTACATCCATATATTGTATTTTAAATCACCCCTTGAATTGCTTTTCCAATATATTTTGTGGGAAATATAATTCTTGTTGGTTTATAGATTTTTATACGCTCGACTTATCCATCCATATCAGTATAAAAAAGCTTAATTAGCATTATTATATTGTGTTTTCCGCTTAATAGTCGACATATGAAAATACAAAAGCACTTTGTAAATTCTTCCTCGACGTGGTCATTTGGATTGGTTCTTATCTATGATTTATTTGCATATATTTGAGTTTCTCATAATTTACCCTAAATCTTAATCTGATAGGAACTCTATGTTCGAGAATGACTTCGGCATTATCTGCATGTGCATTTCCTTGTTTACTATTGTGTTCCCTAAGTTTATGGTTGTATTTAATTGCATGTTGGCTGTTGTACCCAAGCATTTTACTGTGGCTCTAGAAGATGTTTAGACTTTTAGAATAAAAAAAATAAAGGAATGACAATAGACAGCAAAACATCTGAGATTCCTAAATAAAGTCCTTCTAGCAAAAAGCAAACAAGAGCTACAGGAAATGCTAATAAATCTAGCCAATAAAAAACACAAGAAATTGGACAAAGAATAATTTTAACAAAAACTTAACTAAAAATAGTGTTTTTTGAGAGATCAAATGGTAAAAGTTCAGTAGGCCATCCTAGAAAAAATAAATGGATGATGTTGAAGCTGATTTATCTAGGATTGGTAAACAACAATAAGAAATAAAAGCGCAAGATCGTAGAAAATGGAGAGCTATAGTCATGAAAGCAGTCACGAAGAAGAAGATTAATCTTTTAGGTACAATTTAAGCGCATTACCTATCCTCCTTAACAACATATACAAATATGTTGAGATGGCTACAGAATGTCTATTATTGCGTTTGTTCCGCTACCAAAAACCAAGAATCTAAAACACTTAAATGACTATAGATTAATCTGCTTATTATTATAGCTAATAAAAACATTTTTATGTAACATGTAAGAATATTTATAAACTTTAAAGCGGAACTGAGCAATAGACAATAATTGTCGTATGTATAGACTAAAAAAAGCTTTTATTGCTTTTTAAAACTGTTTAGAAGGGATCAAAATAAATAACGAAATTATAAATAACATTTGTTATGCCGACCACATAGTCATTATGGCTAAAAATGAGGAAGACCTGCAAATGCTACTAAGCACTATTTTTGTTGCTAGAAAAGATATTGAACAAGTTGACAAAATGAAGCACTAAGGAATCTGGATTACTGCAGATCTAAATTGTAAATCAGAAATTCAATCAATAATAAAGCCATCAACAGCAGCCTTTTAAAAGATAAGTATTTCCAAATACCCAGAGTCTCAATCTACAAATTCGAAAGCGTATGGTAAAATGTTATATCCACTCTATTTTTATTTATGGTGCTGAAGCTTGGACTGTTAATGTTGCCTTGATTAGAAAGCTGGAAGCAATAAGACAATAAATAAATTTGTGTCATATGCTCTGAAATAAGAAATACTGGTTGTTGCGGCTAATTCTAAAGAGTAAAATAAAAAAAATGGTCGATACTAGTTGACGACAAATATCCTGACTGAAAAATATCTGCTACTTGACCGGATTAAACACACAGATGCTTTAAGGAAAGGCAGAAGATAAATACGAATTCACAATGGCTACAGCAAACTTTCATTAGTGAAGGCAATAAAAGAAGAAAACAGATATTATTTTATTTGCTGTAACTCGCTCTTTAAGTGTACACCTACATTGGAACCATATTTCTCCCGATCCGGTATCGGGCGACGTCAGCCGACATTGGATTGAAAACAAACTCAAGGTATTAAATTCGTCATGGAAGCAGTATAGGCACTATGATTTAATACCTTGAGTTTGTTATTAATCCGACGTCAGCCGACGTCGCCCGATATCGGATCGGGAGAAATACGGTTCCAATGTAGGTGTACACTAAATCAACAATACAAATACTCTGTCTTTGTCCTTCTTTTTTAAGTTTTAAATTTGTTTTCCTTATTTCCAAAGTTCCAGTTTTTGTTCGTGAAAGAAGCTTTCATCATTTCCTACCCACAATACATCATCAGCTTATATTAAGCACCATGGAATGTTACCCTGTAGTTTCGCTGTTATTTGATTTAAAACACGACGACGCAGAATTCCAAAATTTTACCACTCAGCCGTAATTTTTTTTATATATATTTTAACTAACAATCTCTATTTTGACTATTATCGATATATTTTTCATATGTTTAAAACCATATTTTTCTATTTAAAAGCTATTTTTTGTATGAATACTATTCAAGAAAAAACGTCGGACACAATGTGAAGTTTTGGATGTCGTAGTAGGTATTTTCGGGTTTTTGCCTTGACTGTTTGACAACCGCCAGGAGTTTGCGCAGAAGAAATATAAGTGTTCGGGTTTATTTCGTATCATCTTAAAACTGTTCAGAATTGCAGTTTGGTGTTCGAGTTAAAATCGGATTCTGTTTGTGGACAGTTTTAAAACTATCAATTCGATTTTTGTTAAAACGTCTTAATTATTTCTGGATTTTTTGAGGCGTGCGCTGTTCTTTTTAAAATTGACAATTATGATACAGTATCACCGAACAACAGTTGTTCGGTGACAGTATAAAAAATGATTTTGTGCTTGTTGTTGATTAATAGGTAGTAGTCGTTTGCATTAATTAATATTAATTTTATTTTTTCGTTATTTACGTTATTACGTTATTTTCGGGTGCTTTTTATTTAAAAAGGCCCAATAATCCCGCTGAAGTACAATTTCAGAGGGATGAAGAAGACATAAACGAAGTTCTTTAAGAAGTATCTGATTTTAATGTACAACATCCAATAAAGAAAATAAAAAAGACGCCACGAAAATGGTCGAACATTATAAATTTACCAACATTACGTGCGGATTCCGATCTACCGAGATTACCAGTTTTAACACTCACTTCTGACAGTAATCCAGTTAAATTTTTTGAATTGTTTATGAGCAGAAAAATAATAAAGTATTTAGTTAAAGAAACATCAAATTATGCTGCCTCGAAAAATCATAATATTTCAATGGAAGTTGAAGAATTTTATGTATTCTTGGGAATTTTAATTTTAAGTGGTTACGTTCCATTACCAAGGCGAAGAATGTATTGGGAAAGCTGTGATGATACACATAATATTTTAGTAACGAAATCTATGAGACGCAATAGATTTGAAGAGATATTTAGATTTTTTCACGCTGTTGACAACAACAACCTGGCAAAAAATGATAAATTAGCCAAGAATAGACCTTTCATTGAAAAATTAAATAAAAAGTTTTTAACGTTTGCGACCATTGAAAATCAAATTTCTATAAACGAATCTATGATTCCTTACTTTGGTTGTAATGGGTGCAAACAATTTATTCACAGCAAACCAATAAGATTTGGCTATAAAGCATGGGTAATGGCTTTATCAAATGGATATTGCCTAAATTTTGACATATATCAAGGCCGAAAATTAGCTACTAGTGTTGATAAAAATTGTGGATTAGGAGAAAGTGTGGTCTTCAACTTTGCAGAGATTTTGCGAAATACATATAAAAATATAAACTTTTCCTTATATTTCTATAACTTTTTTACAAGCATGTCTTTGCTATCATCACTTGGAGAAATGG